TATATATAGCATTAATAAAGGGCGAAGCAGTGGTGCCTTAGGTAGTACTGTCGCCTCAAAGCAAGAAGGTAGCTGGTGAACCTCGGCTCAGTTGGCATTTCTGTGAGGAGTTTGCATATTTTTTTTTATTTTTTTTTATTTTACTAATGATAATAATAATATTAATAAAATAAAGAAATAAATACATAAATAAAATTGGTTGTGATGATGATGATTATACTAATTATTACACAATTATGAATATATAAAAATAACCATGACTAAACCTTGATACTAATAATAATAATAATAATAATAATAATAATAATAATAACAACAACAACAACAACATGTAATATATAGGCATTACATACATAAATATGTTTATTATTATTATTATTATTGTGCTATTTAGGCTATTAAAACATACATAAATAATAATAGTTATAATTGGTGTTATTCTTCTTCTAATTATTATTAATAACATTATTATCATTATTGTTATTATTATTATTATTATTATTATTATTATTATTATTATTATTATTATTAATTCTTCTCTTTCGTCTTCTTCTTCTTATTGTTGTTATTATTATTTACTATTATTATTATTATTATTATTATTATTAAGGTTGACCAAAGCCTTTTAATTGATAATGTTTGCTTTAAATTAATAAGTCTTATATTTAATTTATATTTAATTTGTGTTATGTTTAATTTAGTATTTTTTTTTTATTGTTTAAAAGTCAAAATCAACAGAATAAGGCAGTTTAATACACTCACATCAAATATGTTTTGTCATATATTACCCTTATAAATGAACACCATGTTAACAGTTGCTCAATGTGTTTTGCTTTTTAATATTGGCATATCATTCAACAGTTTCCAGGCACTAGAAATAAGCTTAACTATTCTAAAAAAAACAAACCCACAATGAAAAAATCCCTAAATGCCCCCAAAAAAACAGCCTTCAGCTTTCCTCATGCACAAACAACGTCTTTCTTCTTCTGTTGATTTGAGGCTGAAATGTGACCTGGATTGTTGAAAGCGTTCGCAAAACTCACCCACCTAAATGCCAACTGCACTTTGTTAAAAAAAAAAAGTCTTTGCACTTACAGTCACCTCTCTCTGGGAACTGAGCAAGTTATCAGATGTGAAAACTAAACCGCCACAATGAATGACTGGCTGCATGCCCTCCAGATGCACCTTGCAATAATTAAAAACACACTAAACGACAATCCTGTCATTCTCAGAGCATGATGACAAATGACAGGGGTGTTAAGCACTTCTGGAAGGCGTAATGCGAGCCCATGGGACACCTGTGTGCCGATGTCTGAGCTCTGAACGCAAGCAGTCGTCTGCTCATTGCATGGTGTCTCAAGGCTCATTGGTTTTGTGATAAGGCAAAACATTGACAGAACACTCAAAGTGCTGAAAGCCCATGGTTCTCCCGAGTCTTTTATTGTCACTATCCAATAAGTGTCAGATTGTGATCCACTCAAGCTCAGTTTAATGACTCTAGCGAAACAAATGCACACACTTTGAGCTGTACAAGCATCTAGAGCTGACAAGAATTCACAATCAAGCCTATTTATGAGATTCAAACACATCTTCTGTCTTATTTGGTGGTGGATGAAGTACACAAATCAAGTGAAGGAAATTCTCTAAACCAGGGATTCCCAAACTTTTTAGCCAGCGACCCCTAAAACAACAATTCCAGTGACCCATGACCCCTACTATCATCGTAGGTGGTTACACCTGTAAACATACAACATTGCACACAACATGCACACACACCAATAGGAACTATATAAACATGAGCATTGACAACACAAAAAGTGCAGCAGTCTAACTAACTTATTAATTTGTTTAGGAAATTTTGATTTGGAGATCATCCTCCATGTTCAGTTGTGGCCTTTTTTATGTACATAAATGTGTAAAGGTGTCAAAGTTGTAAAATCAATCTGCGGCATCTCACACAGTTGCTGTGTCATATATAAGCATATCTGCCAACTCTCCCATTTTTCCTGGAAGTCTCCTGTATTTCAGACCCATCTTTTGCCCTTCTCCTGTATTGTTCTGTCTCCCAGAAAGCTCCCGGAATCCTCCTACCCCCCCTCCGCTCCTCAGCTTTTTGGTACAGTCCCCATGTGCGCCGAACCCAACACGCAACCATTTTCATACCAGCTTTCCTCTCTTTAATTCACACGCACCCCTGGATAACATCTCCCGGATTTTATGATCCGAATGTTGGCAGGGATGTAAATAAGACTATCTTTGTTTGGATCATTAAATGGAGGCTTACTGTAATTGGACCAATAAATGACTGAGTGATTAACTGGAGGCTCGTACTAACTGAATCCTTCGAATTAGCGAATCGTCAACTGGAAACTTGCTCTGACTGGATCATTTGATTCAGGGAAGGGTTAAGCTGCGGTCACACTAGAGTTTAATAATGCAAAATTCTGTCATGCGGTGCTGCGAGAAGGGGCGGGATTAAACAAGATGATAAGACATTAAAAAAAGCGAGCGATTGCTCCATGTTTACAATTTCTGTTCAGAGAGGTCATGTTTTGATCCTCGATTGGCCTCACCCAGTCAAGTGATGTGATTTTGCAGGTCAGAAGTCAACAAGCTTGAACTTTGCACCGCAGCGACCTGCGAAACTTGACGCATGACCTTGCGTTTCCGGTCTGACGCATTCGTGTGCGTATGAATTGAAGTCTAAGGGAGAAAAGTCCAGTGTGACCGCAGTTTTAACTGGAGACTCCTTTTGATTGGTTCATTTGAACCAAAGAATCATAAACTGCAGGCTCACTCTTATTGGATCATTTGATTGAGGGAATCAATAAATAGAGACCCACACTAGTTTGATAATTGGAATCAGTGAACTGGTACCTAAAGACTTTCTCTTACCAGACCAAATGAATCAGTAAATTGCTAACTGGACCAGATCAAAGTGTTTAATCTAAGCCTTGTTCTGAACCGATCATTTAAATCATTTAGATCATTTAAAGCTGTTCCAGAGTTTGTTGCTGTTGTTTTTTTTCCTGCTGAAAGATATTTTGAAGAATGTTGGAAACTACTAATCATTCACATCCATGGTTGGATTAAAAGATAAAAAATTCAATGAATGAAACTGATAAAAATCAAACAAGTTTGGGACAAATGCAGTGTGTGAGTAACAATTGGCAATTTTGTGGTGAACTATCTCTTTAAATCGAAGCTAAGCTGGCCTGATGATCTTATAAACACACTAAAACTACGAAATGAAACATTTATAAAGCCATTTAGAGAGCTCAAATAAGATTGCAGACATCAGTTATGAACTTACAATCTCATGAAAATATATAACAAGGACCTTAACCCTGTCTTTGGAAATCAGCAGAGGAAAACAGCACAAAAGACATCATGCACTTGACTTTAATCAGACCATCACATAAAGGGCTGAAACTCATTCCCGGATTATTTGACTGTTTGAGGCCAAGAAATGTGCAAAGCGTGGCCGCTGATACAAACAGCGCTGCTGAAATTAATTGGTAATTAAAGGGAAGCAGGGTCTGATTGTGTAGCCGGGTCGCGGTGTGACTGAACTGTCCGTTTGTGTCAGTAAACAGAGCACTCAGGCGAGCAGTCAGTAATTAGCTGAACGGTCAGAGCTCACACAAAGCCCAACACAAAACCTCCAATCACAAGACAAGTTAATGAGACTTCATGCTAGAAGACAGTAAACAAAATCAGTTGCAGCCACAGTGAATCTGCACCAATTATTTTACATTATCTTCAAGGAAAAAAAAAGAGAAAAAAAAACAATCCTTTTTTTCTGGCTGCACCTCATTCAGGAAGGGAGTTTCAAATAAACAGATTAAGCTATTTAAGGCTGCGGTCGTAAATGACTGATTTAATAGGATGATTCAGACAAGTTTTGGCCAGTTATTTTTTTTTATATTTCTTTAAAAACTCTCTCAAACACGCACAACATACTAACACACATAGAACTGCATAACAAGCAATACATTTACATGTATTACAAATACAAGATAATAAATTTAAAAGTATATGTATTTTTTTGAAGCCTCAAGCTGATTTGATATTAAAAATCTATCTTTATGGAGCCTTCCTATAGATATACTAATGTTTATACTGCACATACTGTATAATCTAAACCTTACAGGAGACAATCTGCATTTTTACATTTACAAAATTCTTGTGATTTATGTGTCTTTTTCCTCATGGGGACCAAAAAAAAAAAAGATTATGATTAAATGATTATTGTTCACCAGTGCAATAAGCAGCTCCACGTTCAAATCGCCTCAGGGCATCTTCTTCAGTGTGGTCACATTGACTGTTTGGCACTTGAGTGCCTCCAAGTGCTGTTTACGGTAACTTCAGCAGCTCCGTGCATGTGAACAAAAGTGGAAATTTGATTGTAGGAGAAGGTTTTGACGTGGCGCGTCAAAACAAAAAAAATGAGCATGAGGCGTTTCTTTAAAAATGAAGCTATTGCAACTGCCGTTTTGCGCGTTGGTGTGCACGATCACATTAGCGCCCTTTATTTAGTCATGAGGCGTTAAACGTTGAAGGAAAACGCGAGCTAAAAATTTCTCTGTGCACGAGCTTTAAGTAATACATTTATATAAAATG